AATTCTTTGCTGTATGTTTTGGAAGTGACACTAAAACCAGCATGAGTAATTTCTTAATAAAATTATTGTTTGCCCTTCCCCAAAAAAGAGTGGTACCTGAAATTGGTGCAAAGGAATTAGAGAGAAATTTCTCTAAATTATCATTTTATATGGTCTGCATGCTTCCTTTGGCATTGTGTGTTTTATTTCTATCCATTTACAATGTGGCTACTGGTGTGGTTGGACTTTTTATAAATCTACCAAATCTTTGTGCTCTATTACGTAGTATTTCTCAAGTTTCTTGAAAGAGCACCTACAATCTTTGAAGTAAATGTAGTATGTAAATTTATATAGCCAATCTTAGGATTCCCCTGGAAAGTATTAGTATAATTAGAACACTGACATTATATGACCTAACAGTTGGAATGCCTAATTCATAATGAAATGAGCATCAATTAGTAATACATGGATTGAGGCATTCTTCAAACATCTCTTAGTGTTTTAGTGATCCAAGACTAATAGGTGAAGTTTTTATTTTGGGTCCTGCCTCAACTTAATGACTTCATCTATATTTATTTGACATCCTGTAGTTCTGGTTGGTTATTGTGTTAAAAACCAAAGAACCAATCACTTTTGGCCTTGAAGGCAGTCACAGGATGAATGATTTAAAAAAAAAAAATGACCAATAGATGTTGCTTTGGCATCCACTGCAATTTTTTTTCTCTTTCATGGAAAGAGAAAGAATCTATTTACTCCTTTAGTAGAACATCTACAGTTTATCCAGATTTAAGAAGTATATATATAGAGTGAGTTTTAAAAGTATGAGCTACCATAACTCTGTGCTCTATTACTTGCTCAAGTTTCTTGATAGTTTCAAACCACATTCCCTCTTAGCTTTCACTGTAATGTTAGCTGGGAAGTATTTTTGCTTCCTGAAAAGACAATTTTAGAGAATTTGAGATTGTTGCCTCTGACAAGTCAGTTGTTCACTCAGTGCACATTCTGTTTGTAAACACTGCCTGGATTATGACATAGTTTGTGTAGCACCTGGCAAATTCATAGTCTCCTATAGCAAATACATTTGCCTTAAGAAAATTCTGTTCTAAAATTCTTGCCAAGGTTGGACCAACATGTCACTTTGAAGGAAGGCAATGAATCATAGTAAAATGGCCATGGGACACAAACAGGATTGTGATTATCTGAGGACTGTGTGGGAAAGATTGGCCTTACTTCCTTTACCCCTGAGAGGGGATAATAGTGGCCATTTTAAGAGGGAAAACACCAAAGATAGCACTTTCTGTTCACCAGCGTGCTTATCTAGCAATGTCTATCTTTGCACTAGTTCTACAAATAGAATCATTCAGAACTCTGGATCATTTCTAACTCAAGTATCATGTCTTCCCCATTACCCTGAAAAAGTTTGATAAATGATTCCTTGAGTTTCTTCAACAAAGGTGAGACTCCAGTGTGAAATGAATCAGGGCCACCACTCCCCGATTATCTTCTTCTTTTGGGGAGAGTCAGTTTACATAGATGATCACAGTGAAGTGAATATTTTCTCCAAGATAGCTGACATTTGGTTTCTTAAATTTGTTTTAGCTCTCCTATGTTTTGTGTATGATATCTCACCATGCTTGCCATCAGAATGAGCCGTGTTTTGTTTTATGGTGGTGCCAAAGTGTTTTGAACTTTTGATTGGTATTTCTCATGCTTGTACCATTTTCTCACTACTTTTATTTCCAGTGGTTTGGGGCAGCAAATTCTTCTAAATATATATTATTGGGTTTCAGACAGATTCATCTTTAGTTCATCTAAAGGTGATTTGACATTGGAAAAATCTAATGATAACAAAGCAATGTAAGCTTGAAGCTACACATTGTTGACTTTGAATGTTTTGAAAATCCTTTCAGTTATATAGTAAAACCCTTACTAGTCAAAGGACAATTTTTTTAATTGAACATAAAATAATTCATGTAACTTCCACTCCTCTGTGAATGAAAACCAAGACATATTTTACACATACCCAATTTGCCTATGTAAATGTGTAGGTGTGGATATTGGCATTCATTTCGGTGTCTGAGTTTGATGGTGCTTATGCATTCTCAGTGAAGAACTAGGAAGACTTAGGTGTTGTGTTTTTTGTTATCTTAATTAAGTGAACTAGTTTGGTTTAACATTTAACATTGTTATATAGGTATCGAGTTTCTTTTTTTTCTGGATTCATTTTCCCGTCTGGGAACTGCTGTTAAAGCTCTAAAGAATGTCCCTTATAGTTCTGAACTTAACCTATGGATTGGTGATAAGAGGCTTGTAAAACTAAGATATGGGGTCTGGCAAAGTGTTCCTGTTTGAGATTTATTCTCCTCTAAAGATTCGTAAACACTATCGACAAATGCACTACACTGTGCAGTGTTTATATGGCCATAACGTAGGCCAGTAGATTCAGAAGGATTACCTAAACATGTAAATTAAATTCATTATACATTCTAGAGCATGAATCCTCTGACTGTGATGGCCAGCCATTTGTTCTGGATTTTTATTTTTTTCTCCAAATATATCAGTAGATTTTTCTTTTTAGGAGCCACATTTAATTTTTCAATCATTAGTACACTCTCCCCAAAGCATACAATATCTAGATGATTCTGTGGAGTTCATCTATTTGGGGATTCTTGTTGATTTCACAAGGTGACTTGTTGATGCTGCATTTTTTTTGCCAAGGACTATATGTTGAGCTAGACAGTTTGCTTTTGACACACACTGCTTACTTTAGGTTAAAAATAATAGATGGTGATTTTGTAATTAGCCTTATTGTTAAGAAACAGTCTCATCTAAGGCCAAACTCTATAAGGATAGATAAGACTAGGCCATTTTTTTCCTGTGGCGTTCACCTTTCAGTCAGTAAGATAATTGCAGATAACAGATGAGTGTGATATGATGTAATAAGTGCTGTAATAGAACTATGTACAGAGTGGAGTGAAGCACAGTTGAGGTGAAAATAAGTTTCTTGGTGCATTATGTAACATTGTTCCAGTCAATGCTACAAACTACAGAAATAATTCTGAAGATGTGTGTAGGAAGAGAGAAAATATGTGAAAAACAGTCAAATCTCTCAGAAAAGTTCTCTGTAAAGATATGCAGTCTTTAGAGTTGGGGTAATTCATCAACTAAGGAAGATATGTAAGGTGGTATATTATTTTCTGCATAAACTTTGTGTGGAGTGTATAAATTTTAAAATTAGAGATACTCAGATGACAATGTGTTCATAAATTCATGCAATCAAGGTCAGCACCTTTTTAAAATAGTTGAGTATGAGTTCAAGCCATTGGTTTATTTGTCCCAAATTTTGTAACACATCTGCCATATGCTAGGCTGTGTGCTAAATGGTTAACAAAATAAAAGTCAAATTTTGCTGCTGTTGATCTGGTCATCTAATTATAAAACTCTTGAGAAAAATGTCACTGGTTTCTTTTCTGTTGAAGCATTGCTGGGCAATACATACCTAGACAGGTAGAAATAAGCCATGTTTTATATTGAGTTATCTTCATAGTAAATTATGTTATATTTCTGGTTTCTTAATCTAAAATGGTTTCTCTGTGTTCATTGCCATGATGTTTCTTATGCCTTTAAGAGTCAAACAGATAGGCACATCCAGATGGCTAGCTACAATAATGAACAGATAGGCATCTCTAGATTGTTAACTAAAACCATAGAAATCATCTCTCCTATGGTTCCCACAGTAGAGGATACTAAATAAAATTGAAAGCATGGAGAGTATGCCATGCCAGACCATTGCTAAACTAAGGGAAGAATTGTCTGTATGATGTTTCCTTGGTACAGTGATGCAGCTGCTATGTGGATGACATTGTACTCCAAATTGAATATCAATACAAGTAATACAAAAATGTCCTGGGTAGGGTGTTTTGTGGTGCTGTAAATCTGGCATTCCTTTTCTCCATATGAAACTTTTATGAGAAAACATGCCAGTAGCAACTAGAGAAATTGTGTTCAAGCTTGTTTTTAAATCCCAAGGACAACATAGGCTGTTGCACAGCCAAATGGCGAGAGACAGGACTGCTGGCTCAGGTCACTCCCTTTCTCTTTCTGGTTTCAAATGCTCTATTCCAAATGTACTATTGTTCCTGGTAGAAAAGGCTAGGAATACTCAGGCCAATGTGAGGGAAAATGAATTGAAAGGAAAGCCTTGGTTCTGTCTAGGGCAAATTATAGAGGAGAGCAGAAAAATACCAGAGAACCCAGTAGCCCCCTCTGCTGCATCTTCCACAATGGGCTTCTGCACACAATGCAGCAAACTGGGTTCCACATGGTCATCTAGGATAGACAACATTTGGTTGTGTAAAACTTTTAAGTTATGTATGATAACTAGGTGTTTCAAATTGCACACTAGATGTGGCCATGCCTGAAAAATGTATTATTCTCTTGTGAGAGAAAAGGATATATATTTCATCCCATTTTGAAATTTATGTAACCTAGTAGGCAGATAAACCCATCTGACCCAGAATGTCTTATGAATTAAAGGTTAAACCCAATTAATGTATCTACCGAACTGCAATGGACTGGTGTCACTAGGAATTTCTACTTTTCTTTTTCTTCATTTGAATAGTAAAAATCATAATCCATTTATTACATTGAAGTGGATCAGATATTTGAAGAAGATTGCCCTTAATCAGCTAGAGTTCAACAGTTATGAATGTATCCTATTTCATGGTTTTCTTCATCTTAGGTCTTTTCATGAAAGCAAGATCATATAGAGTATATATATATATATGTGTGTGTGTGATGTATATAACCTAGAAGTTATTGCATGTAGTATATATGTGTACAATGTGTATAATTTAGTACTGTTAGCGCATGCTATTAATTTTTAAATTTTATTAAGATTTAAAATTCAAAAATACAATAGTTGTAATTTGATGCATTTAGAATTTATACTTATGACTGGAGATTTTAACATTGTATTTTTCTTTTTTCTTCCCTCCCTGCTACCCTTCTCCTCTCAACAGTCCTGGTACCTGGGCTAGCTTGGTTCCTTTCCAAGTGTCAAATAGGACACCCATCCTACCGGCAAATGTCCAAAATTATGGTTTGAACATAATTGGAGAGCCTTTCCTTCAAGCAGAGACAAGCAACTGAGGGGAAAGAAACACAACGATAGTATAAGAAAATTAGGGGAAAAACACTCAAAGCAAAGGAAAAGAAGAAGACTGGACAAAAGGGAGAAAGGAGAGAAACTGAAGAAAGAAGACGGTAGACCAGCATTGCAGCACTTACAATCACTAATTCCCTTAAGGTTGAAACTATAATGACACGAAAGGGTCGATGATATCTCACTGATGCTAGACTGCAGCCCCTGCAACGTAGCCTTTGTTACATGAAGTCCGCTGGGAAATAGATGTTCTGTCTCTATGACAATATATTTTAACTGACTTTCTAGATGCCTTAATATTTGCATGATAAGCTAGTTTTCTTGGTTAGTATTCTTGTTGTTTACGCATGGAGTCACTATTCCTGGTTATCTCACCAACGAAGGCTAGGAGGCGGCGTCAGAGGTGCTGGGGACAGAGCCATGAGCCAGCCATTTTATGAGCACTCTGATTTCTTAAAGTTAAAAAATATATATAAAATCTCTGTAGCCTTTAGTTATCCATACAGATTTATTAAATTTTGGCCCTTAACCCAGCCTTTTCCAGTGTGTAACCCAGTTTGAAATCTTAAAAAAGAAAAAAAAAGTGAAAAATAGGAAAAAAAAAAAAAACAGTTTGAACTCAAAGGCTCTATGGAAGAAATGCCTCTATGTGGGTAAAGTGTTACCTCTGCATGCAACAGTAAAAATTAATATAATATTTTCCCCACAAAAGAAACACTTAACAGAGGCAAGTGCAATTTATAAATTTATATCTAATGGGGAATCGTGATTATAAGTCCTTTAGCCCTTGGACTCTAAATTGAGGGGATTAAAAAGAATTTAAAATAATTTTGAGCGAATTTATTTTCCCCTCAGTTTTTGAGGGCATTTAAAAAAGGCATTAAATCAAGACAAATCATGTGCTTGAATGGAAAAAAAATGAATGAAAACACAGCACTTAGGTTGGCTTAGCTGCAGCCTCCTTGGAGGCAGAATTATTTATTTAAAATTACTGGTTGCATCAAGAACCCATAGGGTGTACAAATGGTTCTATAAAATCTGTATCGTAGAGACAAAGAGGCAGGTAAATCCATGTCACAAAGGTAAAGCTTCCAGTGTACAGGCTGGGAACGCCAGGGCATAGGATAGAAAAACACACTCTTCAGAGAAGTGCCATCGGGGTGCTGGAAACGTGCACGGTGCTTTCAGACATTAGCCTTGTTCAACACATTTCTCGTATTGACAGATCTATAGTGTGCATGGGCAGACACATGTTGCCTCTATGTCTCTTAAAATTTTAATTAAAGTACTCTTTCCAGTAATCCTAATTTGCACGAAGATATAATGTCCACATTACGTGCCTTGCCTTGAAATCTAAAAAACAAAAGACAAAAAAAAACCACAAAAGTGACATCACTACACTTGTTTTGCTGCATTTATTATCGTTTTAAATCTTTACCATTTTTATGACAAAATATTTTGTACTCCAGACGAAGAAAAATGTGTGACATCATGGATTTTTTAGACAGTTACACCTTTATCTCACATTTATAAAGCATATCATGGCTGTGTATAGTTGCCGCTTAAAAATTGTAATCGACCAGCAATATTTTCAGTATTTTGGTGTTTTTCTATTAACCTTTCATGTTTTTCATCTTCCAATTAATATTTGGGGGGAGGGGTTTCAAATTTATACGAATTATGCAATACCAAGTTTTGCCTATGTAGGTAGTGCTTTTAGCTGTATTGGTTATTATAGGTAAGTACACAGATTTAAAAAGAAATAATGTATGCTTTTTTGTTTGTTTGTTTATTTGTTTGTTTGTTTTAATTGACCAAAGTGGGTACTGCTATTTTTGCAGTGTGATGAGGTCCTTTTGTGTACTGAGAGATGGACAGGGGATTTTTTTTAATATACATATATATATATATTCTGGGGTGGGGGGGAGGATTTTTAACACTTTACAGTGTAGCTGTGAAGCAGTGCACCCTGAGACGGGCCTGGGCTGCAAAGCGACTGTTCTGCCTACTGTGACAAACTTCAACTTACACAGGTCCCCCCCCTCTCTACTTTCTCACCTGGGGTGCAAGCTGAACTCATTTCTGGTTTTCAAGCTAAGAAAATGGGAAGAAAAAGCAAGCACAGCGAAGCCTCCTAGAGGCAGACTTAGAAGAACTGCCCTGTCTCATTTTAGTTGTTGATAGTTTTTCCTGAAAGTTCCCAATCCACAGTGGAAAGCGAGTCTGTCTCATATTTGGCAAAGACATTTCTTGAAGTGCCCACATAGCAGATGTTGGCTGTTTCACACTTTTGAGTTTAACACAGGAATAAGCTTTCTTCTACCAAACACATTCGCCCATCTGGAGAGAGGGCTCTCCTATTCCTTCCCATGACAGGATATGATGTTGCTATGACTTACTACTTCAAGTGGATGGCAGCACACTTGGGATTTTTGGTTTTTTGACATCAGGAAGGTTGACCAGAGAGAGGGTTACTCTTATTGAATGTATTTGGACTGGTAGATTAAAAAAATCAAAGTTCAGCTTTTAAAGAACAAAAATGAGCAAATCCTTTTATTTTACCTGCCCTTGTAAACTGAAAACTAGAACAGAGAAAAAATACAGAATTTTAAGCAACTAATTTTCCTGTGGATGAATTAAGCCTGTTTGATAATGATGGAAGGAACTTCTTTTTAAGGGATGGTACTTTAGATATATATTTGAGTTAATTTCCCCTGAGGGCTAGAGGTAAATGGGGGCCAATTTTGTTTTGTCTCCCCAACCTGGTCCTGTTGAGTGTATTCATTACTCCAAGGAGTTCTTTCAGGGTTAGTGACACACACAGTAGGTTGTCATGAGGCTCTCCAGACCCCAGATCCCATGCCATAGCCTAATAAAATAAACTGTCAAATGTATGCCTAGCAGATCATTTAATGAGTACTTTACAACAGTGCTCATAGGCTTGACAATTGTATCTGACTATTGATGTCCAAATGCTGGCTAGCATAGTGGGATTTAGACTCCAACAAAGTCCCACTGCATCTGTGATACTTGCTCTGTAGTTACCAAATCCTCCCAGCCAAGCTCTTTATGTATTTCTGACCTATTTGGTGAGGAATGCAACCTTACAGGACACAGTATTCTTTCCAGGCAGACTCCTCTCCTTGTTGCCAGTGAATGAACAAGTCTTGCTAAACAACATGGCGCACTGTAGCATCCCTGCCTGCCTCTTGGGTACAGAGGCTTAGGGCAAGTGTTCCTTCTTTTTCTGAATAATTTTCCTTCTTTCCTTTTGAGATAAACTTATTAAAAAGCACTACTATAGATAATCTCAAATCCACTTTTAGCCTCCTATTTTTTTTTAAACCAGGAAGTGTATTCTGACGAAGGGCCCCACTTTTGCAGGTCTTGCACGCCCCTTCCTTACCCAGACTGCAGAGCTTCAGGATGGTGAAGGTCACCCAAGGGCATCTGTAGGGGGTGGTGTCTCCAGCCACCAACTTGTGGCACTGTCCAGCCTTTGTTGTATTGCTTTGCAGCCCACCACTCACAGTGCCTCTGAAGTGTGTTTCCCCAGAGTGACGTGAGCAGTCAAGGCTTGCCTAAGGAAAAAAAAAAAAAAAAACCTGAGAGGCAGTGAAGGAGACTGTACATAAAGACATGGCAAAACCTTAATTATAGCAATATAGTTATCGGGTAATGTTCGGGTGGGCAGCTCCATTAAAACGTATGTGAATGAATCTGGGAAGCTGCGAGTAGCGAGAAGAACGAAGTCTTCGTAACGAACCGCC